ACTGGATTTTCTTTTGGTACCCCACAAGCTCCTTCATCAACTGGTGGTTTTAAATTTGGATCCGCTGCCCCTACCCCTACCCCTGCAACGACAGCATCAACAGGTTTTGCGTTTGGTGCCAAGCCTACTGGCGGATCGACATTTGGTGCCACTCCCACTGCAGGGTCAACGTTTGGTGCTGTGCCTACTGCTGGGTCAACGTTTGGTGCTGCGCCTACTGCTGGCTCAACGTTTGGTGCCGCGCCTACTGCTGGCTCAACGTTTGGTGCCGTGCCTACTGCTGGCTCAACGTTTGGTGCTGCGCCTACTGCTGGGTCAACGTTTGGTGCCGCGCCTACTGCTGGGTCAACGTTTGGTGCCAAGCCTACTGCTGGCTCAACGTTTGGTGCCAAGCCTACTGGCGGGTCAACGTTTGGTGCCGCGCCTACTGCTGGTTCAATGTTTGGTTCCACTCCAGCAGCGGGTACCGGTACGCCATCTGGATTTTCATTTGGGGCTGTTCCTCCTGCGGCAACCACTGCATCTACTGGCTTTAGTGGTGCTGCTCCTACAACTGCGTCAAGTGGTGGTTTCAGCTTTGGGGGGTCTGCGGCTACTACTGCTTCTTCAGGGTTCAGTTTTTCAGCCCCTAAGGCCACTGCGCCGTCTGGTCAGAGTGGGGGRTTTTCATTTGGTGGTACTCCAGGAACASSACAAAGTMCTGGTAAAGTGTCTTAGCAATTTTGGTTTTGTACAGCTATAATTGAAGTTATTGATAAAAATTAAGTATTGGTATACAAATTTATTGGACACTCACACTTATAAGTAGGTCGTAGAGACAAACGTGGATCAAGTAATGTTTACAACATGAGCGGTCGTGTTGTATCAAATATACAACACTTTTCACGGTTGTGATTTCTATTGTGTTTTCCTCATTAATTATTCATGAGTTTTACAATAAAGCTTAATGAGAATAGAGCAGATTTCGTATGAGTGGGAAACGGTTGGTACTGTACTGTGACCGTAATCGTACTGTAACCAAATTCTAGTGCCCCATTGGTTCACCAAAATTGTGAAGGCCAGGTCTGGTAACTGTGAGGTAACGGTGTCCCACTCATATGAAATCCGCTCTAGTCTTCATGGTTTCCTGCGMCACCTGGAGAGGTATCAACGCCTGCATATTAACAGTTATTTTGTTTTGGATGTTAAAGCATACTCTACAATCGTTGACAAAATCCTTGGACCATTCCAGCGAATTTCCTCATTTTAAGCAACACCCGCAGACAAAGTCATCCCCCCTGATCCCCTTAATGCAATGTTGTCATTGATCATGTTACCATAGTACACAAGCATCCAAAACAAGACCCAACATTGATGAAAGGGGGCTAAGGGGGAAAACTGTCAAAAAATAAAGGAGAAAATTGTTAGGCTGGAGACAAATAATTGTACGGTCCAAGGTTTTTGGCAACGATTGTACCATTCAAGAT